CAGCAGGAAATGCAATTTAATTTCAGCAGCTTTTCTATTCACCTACAGTAACAAATCTCAGTCATATTGTGGTTAGAAATCAGGAAATCTATATCACATACAGAATGAATGATGATTAAATCAGGAGATACACTGTCAGATTAACCACCTTCGCTTTCTAAAGGTTCAACTACAGCTTTTAGGTATGCTGCAGCTCTATATCTATGTACATCTATATGCATATTGCAGCACTGAGTGTAAACACCTGAACTACCTTTAAACAGTATAACTTGGATACTACAGTTTAGTTGTAACAGCAGGGACCTCAATATAGTCTAAATTACTCTGCTTTTTTACTTCTATTAAGTTCCATACTACAACAGGTAGACTCCTCCCAGTACTACAAGTTAATTCAGTTACAGCTACCTGGCATATCTCTACATAATGTTGCAGTCTACAGTGACTGAGAAACCATGCGCTGCTGGAAGATGGGAGAAGCCTGCATGATAATGGATACTTTAATTGGACAGGAATATAATACCACCTCATTCATCAGTAGCCCTTGCTACCAAGTGCAGGGGTCCCAATTTTCCTGTGCAAGTAGCACAACAGTTTGTGGGTACATCCCATTCCTGAGGATTTCTACATCAATACCCAAAGAGCATGCTATTTTACCACCATTCACTGCCCCCAGTCTTTTCCCATCAGGAGTGCCAACTACTGTTGACAATCCCCAAGCAGCTCTATGCTCGATTTCATAGGAAGCAAATGACAGCATCATAACTGTCAGGGGATCAGGGGGAAAGGGAGTTGGTAGTGGGGGTCTACTATAGACCGCCACACCAGGAGGATCAGCTAGATCTGGAATTCTCCAGACAGGTCTCAGAGGTTGAGAGTTATGGTTGTCATAGGTGACCTAAACTACCCTGACATCTGCTGGGAGGAGCAGTCAACCAAATCTAACCGCTCACATTTGTTCTTAACCTGCAAACAGACCTCCACCTAACACAGGAGGTATATGATCCCACTAGGAGAAATGCCTTGCTGGACTTGGTGTTAGCTACAGGGGATGACCTGGTGGGGAATCTGCAGGTACAAGGTAACCTAGGGGATAGTGACCATTGATTGATTAAATTTAGTATCTGACAAAGGGTGGGTAAGGTAACCAGCAGGGCTGAAGTGCTAGACTTCAGAAAGGCTAATTTCAGTGTGCTCAGGGGATTAGTTAGTGAGGTGCTGAAGCTCAAGAGCATTGGCAAAACAGGGGTCCAGGAAGAGTGCTTGTTTCGCAAGGGAGCGATCCTATGAGGGAAGAAGGAGACAATCCCATTGCACATAAAAGGGGGCAAAGGGGCCAAGAAGCCCTCTTGGCTGAACAGGGAAGTCCAGGAAAGCCTAAGGGCAAAGAAAGAGGTATACAGGCTGTGGAAACAGGGGGTAGCTACCAAGGAGTAGACCTCCATGGCTCACACCTGCAGGGAATCAGTTAGGAAGGCCAAAGCAGGATTAGAACTTAGGCTGGTGACAAAAATTAAGGACAACAAAAAGTCCTTCTTCAGGTATGTAGGGAGCAAAAGAAAGGTGCAGGGTAGCATAGGACCCCTACAGGACAAACTAGGGCAATTGGTGACAGAGAGGGTGGACAAAGTTGAGCTATTCAATGAGTTCTTTGCATCTGTATTCCTAGACACAGACCAAGACAAATCTCCCAGTTGGATCATTGACAGACACAGGAGGGGCACCAGCCCACCAACTGTTAGTGCCGACTTAGTGAAGGGGCACTTGGAGGGGCTGGATGTGTTCAAATCAGCAGGCCTGGATGAACTTAATCCAAGGGTGCTGAAGGAATTGTCCAGTGTCATAGCAGAGCCACTGGCATGGCTGTTTGAGCACTCATGGTGCTCTGGTCAGGTCCCAGAGGACTGGGAAAGGGCCAATGCAGTCCCTATTTTCAAGAAGGGGAGGAAGAAGGAACCATGAAACTATAGGCCAGTTACACCTCTATCCTTGGGAAAACTCTGAAAAAAATAATTAAGAATCACAATTGTGGGAGCCCAGCAGGGAAAATAATGCTGAAAGGAAATCACCACAGGTTCACTGCAGGTAGATCCTGTCTGACTAACTTTGTTTCGTTTTATGACTAGGTCACAAAATGCTTAGACTCAGGAGTCGAGGTAAATGTCATCTACCTAGACTTTAAGAAGGCCTTTGATATGGTATCTCATTCTGTTCTCATAAATAAACTGACAGGCTGTAATGTAGATGCTTACACATTCAGGTGGGTGGCTAATTGGTTTTGGGGTTGCACCCAGAGAGTGGTGGTGGATGGGTCGATAATTGACCTGGAAAGATGTGGGCAGTAGCGTCCCACAAGGCTCGGTCCTTGGACCAGTGCTATTCAATGTCTTCATCAGTGACTTGGACAAGGGCGTGAAGAGCACCCTGTCCAAGTTTGCAGATGATACCAAATTATGGGACAAAGTTAACACACCAGAGGGTAGGGAATGGATCCCCCAGGTACAAAACTCTATTCCAGGGGTAGGCAACATTTTTTGGCTGGAGTGCCGAAAAAAACACAATGTCTACCTTGGAAGGTGCTGGAGTGCCAACATGCCAGAGCCTGGAGCAGTTGTTTGCAGCCGTTGCAGCCAGCCCACGGAGCCCAGTCTCCTTGCAGCAGGGCTTGCAGCCTCCCAGCCACCTGCTGGGAGCAGCCTGGGCTCTATAGCTGGCAGCAGATGCTTAGAGCCCGGGCTGGCAGTGGTGTGTCGAGCAAAATGGCCTTGCGTGCCATGCTCAGCACACATGCGAGGGGTTGCTGACCCCTGCTCTATTCTAAGAGATGGAATGAACTGCTAGTCCAGTTGTTGTGGTTCTTACTCTCTCTAGGAACAATCATCTGCCCACCACTAAGGGCATGATTCAAAACCTTTTGAAATCAGTTCAGGTCAGGAGTAAAACTTTTGAGCAACATAAAGGCAGGTTACTTGGCTCAGAATACAACTAACCGTAAATGAGGCAGGTTTGGGTGGCCAGGGATTCTTTGGCAGAATTAACGTGAAATCCCACTTGCATTCATGAGGCTTGTAAGTAATAAATCTTCGGTCAACATCTTTTTGTTTTTCTATCAGTGGTTCCGGTCTGTAAACTGAAGAAGTTAAACAAACAACTTACTATTAGATGGTCCAGGCTCTGCAGACTATCTTGTTATTAATAGTAGCTCAAGAATTATTAGAATTTGGAAATCTGGGCCTACAGCAGATGGAAGTTCGGAAGAGAATCCCAGAAAGAGGAGTGAAAAAGTATATGCATTTAATAAAATAACCATCTTGCCCAAACCATTGGTACAGTGTATACATACTATAGCCACTCCTCCCTCTTTACATCTGAGTACTATAAAAAGGCAAAGGACAACACTGGATGGCACCTGCAAAATGAAGACAATGCACATGGAGTTCAAATCCATTAAATATCATGAATTGTACAGATCAGCTGCAGCAACCAGGGACTGCCCAGCATTCGGCAAGTGCTCTGGTATAATCCTTCTTTGGGCTTCCTAACCTCCACTGGGGACCATACCAGTGACTACTCCTCCATAGGGTGTCAAATTTGCCTCTTTTGGACACCTTTCAGTCATAGGGGCCTAGGACTGAAAGGTACTTCCTGGACCATTTGAATCCAGACCCCTGTATTGACAGGCAATCATAAACCAAGGAACTGCCAATATTGTGACTTCTTACTCTCACCTCCAGCTACAAGGCACAATACCTGAAACATCAAGACCATCCTATAATATGCCATAGGCCAAAGCAGGGGATATGGGGATACTGCCGTTGAGGGAAGCAGCTGGATAATATATGCTCATAAGTTCATAATAAAACAACCTAGAAACAAGGAATAGGAAGAACTGTTTATGTTAGACTAATCTATTGAACTTCTGTCCCAGATCCCCTCCTGACTCAAGTTAGGTTGTAGTCCCCTGGCATCCCAGGAGCCTTTGCAGCATTCCAGCTGGCTCCCCTCCCCCACTCACAGGGTGACTGGGCTAGCCTTGGCCCATGTTGTTCTGCTGTTTCATAGTTGGTAAAGGTCGGACGGGACCTGAGCAGATCATCTAGTCCGACCCCCTGCCATGGGCAGGAAAGGATGCTGGGGTCAAATGACCCTGGCTAGGTGATTATCTAGCCTCCTTTTGAAGACCCCCAAGGTAGGAGCGAGCACTGCTTCCCTTGGAAGTTGGTTCAAGCTCCTAGCCGCCCTGACTGTGAAGTAGTGCCTCCTGATATCTAGCCTAAATCTACTCTTGGTCAACTTATGGCCATTGTTCCTCGTTACTCCCGGTAGTGCTCGGGGGAACAGGGACTCTCCCATAGCCTGCTGGTCCCCCTTGGCCAGTTTGTAGACAGCCACCAGATCCCCTCTCAGCCTTCTTTTATAGCCAAGGGCTAGGCTAGCCCTGCCCCTGGGCTGCCACAGAGCTACGGCAGCAAAGCCTCTGGTTCCCAACCCTGGTCCTACCTGCACCTCTCAGCTGAACCAGGTGTGGGGGGATCTGCCCCCACTCCACTCCCCTAACCATCATGGCCGGGCTGGGGCTGTGCAGCAGGGGCTTCCCCACTTGCCCATTGCCTGGCCCACCTGGCCAGCACAGCTTCACTCCACAGCCCTGTCCCACCACAAGCTGGCAGTGGTAGGGGGTGGGGAGTGGGCAAAGCATACCATAGACCCCCTACCATAGACCCCCCTGAGCCAGTACAGCTGGGGGAGGGGGTCATACAGCAGGGGCGTCCTGCCCAACCTGCCCTGACCACCTGACAGTTGCAAACAGGAACCACAGCTCAGAGTCCAGCTGTCCACCAAACCGGGAACAGCAGGGGTAGGGAAGGGGGGTGGGGGAGAAGGGAAATGGATCTCCCTGCCATGTGGGGCCCACCAGATTGCTGGCTCGGGGTGGGGGGGCAGCCTGGGTCTGCAGGGTGGGGGCTCTGGCTGTCAGGAGGTCAGAGGGGGAATGGGGAAAAGCTGAGCCAGAACAGCAGAGGGGGCTGTACAGCAGGGGCCTCCACTTTCTTCCCCTTCCCTCTCCCCTGCCACCACTGGTAGCTGACCTCTGGTAAGGGACAGGGCAGAAGAGAGATTCGGTGCCAGCTCCCCACTTCCCTGTGGCTGACAGAAGAGGGTTGGGGGCATATGCCAATAGACAAAAAAGAGACCGCCCCTGTTGGCTGGGCTCAGGTGCCCTTGGCAATCTCCGGCATGCTGGGAGGCATGCATGTGGATGCTGGGGGGTGTGCAGGTGGAGCCCCCACCTTCTGGCCTCCGCTAGTGCAGGCATCTGCCTGCCTCCCCCCACCAAAGGGCAAATGTGTGTTCCCATCACTCCTGATCCAATCTAAACAGCTTAGACAAACCTGTGTAGATTGGCTCTATTCTGTTGTGGGCTTTTTGAGTGTCTGTAATTAGCCTGAATGTATATTAAACGTCTTTGGTTCAATTAATTTCTGTGTTAGAAAAGACTTACCTGTGTTTAAATTCTGTGATTTGAACTTTAAATTGAAAGGGTCTGTGGCGTAACTTGTCACAAATTCTGGCATGTTAGCTTCAGACTGCACGTGAAAAGGAAACAATTCAACATCAGATGCATCATCTTGCCAAAACCACACATGTTGAAAATAGATAAATGTGTTGAAATTAGATAAGATATACCGATATATCAAAAAAGGCTTTTCAATTTAAAAACACAAGAGGTTTAAGGTTTTATCCCCAGCTGGCAAAATCAATAGAGTGCTATTGATTTTAATGGAGCCACACCATTTTACACTGGCAAAAAAGTTAACACTAAGTTTAGTTATTCAGAAATAAACTTTTTTGTGGCACGAACCATTTATTTCTTTTATGTTTTTGGACAGTGCCCAGCACATTGGCCCCAATCAATGATGGTGCTCCTACATGGAGTACCAGGGACCCGAGTTTTCCATTTCCCATGGAAAAACAAAGTAAATCACGGATTTTACTTTTTACCAGAGGCAAACCTGGATTTCTCATTTTACTGGAGAAACCTGTGGATTTTGCAGTTTTGCAAAGAGCTCTCTGCAGGTTGACAGAGTTTAAACTTGCAGGGGGCTGGGAGGTAGTGGGAGGGCAGGCAGGCAGGGGGAGCAATATGTATGTATATGCACATGGCCCCAGGCAGCTTGGAGAGCAGCTCCCACAGGTTATTTTTGGGGGGGGGCGGGAATTGAGGCTCCCATAGAGAGGGAGGGAAGGAGGAAGTGAGTTGGGTAGGGCTGGGGCAGTGCCTGGGGCTCGGGGCTCAGGGCCACAATGCGCGGTTGCAGGGCCCTGGTGGGAAGCAGGATGGGGCTGCGGGCAGCTCATCTGGGATGCGGTGGATGGGTGGGGGCAGGACCAGCTCCCCCCTGCTGTGTGCACTCCCGGGGGCCAGAAGGACCTGTGCTCCTCAGATCTGTGTGTGGGACAGGGGTGGAGGTGAGCTGCCTGTTGCAGGCTCAGGCAGAGGGGTGAAGCTGGCTCCCCACTGCTGCTCACACTCCCAGGGGCAGCCAGAACCCGTACCTCCCAGATCTGTACATGGAACAAGGGCTGCATGCTGCCTAATTCAGGCTCGTGCTATCCGCCCTGTTGCCCTCCTCTGGGGCCTCTGCAGCCCAGCATGTGCAACCTAGCATTGCAGGGAACAGCGGAACTACTCAAAAAGCTGCCTGCCACTGTGAGCTCCACACTGCCTGCATCCCCTGCATGCAACCCTGCACTGCCATCCCCATTGCAGCTGTGCAGGCAGGGGCCACGTCAGCAGGACAGTGCAGAACTCACAGCAGCAGGCAGCTTCCTGCACAGCTCTGCTGTTCTTTGCAGCACTGGGTTGCACTACTAGGCTGCAGAGGCCCCAGGGGAAGGGCAGCAGTGTGGGAGCCCAAGCCTGAAGTGGGCAGCACACAGCCCGTGCCCTGCACACAGATCTGGGGGGCATGGGTCCCCCCTGTCCTCCGGGAGTGCGCACCATGGTGAGGAGCAGCACTCCCTTCTGCCCAAGCCTACAGCAGGCAGCAGGCGGGGAGCCAGGCTCCATGTTCTGCCCCATTGCAGCAGCCACTGCCTCCTGCCAGGGGCAGGGTTGTGGTGGGGAGTGAGGGACAGAAGTAGGGCTGGGGGGCCTTTCATTTTAACCACAGATTTGGATATATTTCAATTTCCTCTTCACTTCTACAGTTGAGCTATGCCTTTCTTTCCCATTTCCAATAATCCCTGTTTATTCACCAGCCCTACGTGTTTGACAAATACTACCAAACAGGGCCCCAAACAGTTCACTCTGTCACTCCTCCTCTCAGCTTGTTGCATATAATTAGTGTAGCCCTGCCCTTCATGAGCTAGAACTGACCAAGGTTGCCCTGCACCTCATCAACATATATATTTTTTGAGAATCCCAGGACTCATGACAAGAATACTCAGTTACAATCATGAGTGGGGAACTAATTAGCACATGGATCCTTCATGGTGGGGCGGAGGGGGGGAAGGGAGGGATAAAGAAAATGTCTTGCCCTGGCATTGCTTAACTTAGACTCATGCAGCTATATCAGAGACAAGGCCAAAGGGTCTTTGTGTATCCTATACCCACAACTCAGGAGAATAGAATGAAAGTGTGAATTTATACCACTCCGCTGGTTCTTCACCCCCAGAGAATTCTGCGTGTAATGGCCTTAGGCCTGCTTTTCACTGATGACATGATACAAAGAAGCCCAGACCCTAGGGAAAGCCTGGGGTTGAGTCAAGGACAAGACACTAAGAGTTTTCTACATAACGGGTGCATCAATACATAGCTCGGAGTACTCCCAGCTGGGTCATGAGATGCTACAGGGATTTGGGAGTGGGGCTCAAGGGTCTGGGGGCACAGGTGGTGTTCTCTTCGATCCTCCCGGTCTCGGGGTATGGGCTGAGGAGGGAGAGGAGGATCCAGGTAGTTAACCAAAGACTGCAGTACTGCTGGTGCCAAAGGAAAGTCTTTGGCTTCCATGACCACAGCCCGCTCATTGGCAAGAGAGGCAGTGAGCTGCTGGGAAGAGATGGCCTCCACCTCTCTCTGCTGGGGAGGAGGCTCTTCTCAGCCAGACTGGCTGACCAGCTCCACCAGGCTTTAAACTAAGCCTGCTGGGGGACGGAGGGACTACCGCCACTGCTGGCCCGCTGAGCAACCCTTGCAAAGCCAGCAGGCCAAGGCACTTAAGGGAGCCTACCCCTGCCCCAGCCCTGGTACAATCTGTGGGCAAGGCAAGATCTCCCAAGGGGACACTTGCCTGTCTGTACACAAATGCCAGGAGCTTGGGGAATAAGCAAGAGGAACTCATCCTCCTGCTTAACATAAATAATTATGACATCATAGGGATAATGGAGACCTGGTGGGATTCCACCCATGACTGAACCATCGGTATAGATGGCTATACCTTGTACAGGAGAGATCAAGTAGATAAAAGGGGCGGGGGTGTTGCTCTCTATGTTAAGGAAAGCTACACGTCCCTGCAAGCTGATATTGGAGACCAGGGTAGATGATTGGAGACTCTCTGGGTTAAAATCCATGGGGAACACGGCACAGGAGACACAATGGTGGGAGTCTACTACAGACCTCCCACCCAAAGTCAAGAGCTTGACCAGGAGTTCACCCAGGAACTGGATGAGGCCGCATGCTCCAGGACCATGGTTGACATGGGTGACTTCAACTACCCAGACATCTCATGGGAGGATCACTCAGCAAAATCCGAGCGGTCTCAGAGCTTCCTATCGTGCATGGATGACCTCTACCTGACTCAAGAAGTCTACAGGCCAATGAGAGATAAAGCGCTGCTCAACCTGGTACTGGCTACTGGGGGTGACCTAATCAGCGACCTAGTGATTGATGGGAAGCTGGGGGACAGCAACCATGAGCTGATCACCTTCACCATCTGCCGTAAAGCTGGCAAGTCAGTCAGCAACACTGAAGTCCTTGACTTCAGGAAAGCCGACTTTGACAAGCTCAGGAGGCTTGTCAGTGAGGCCCTAAG